TTCCTTGTGAATGATCTCTTTCTCATGTTGGGGGCAATCAATCCCCCAGTTCTGCGCACCTACGGAGCCAGACAAAAAGTCCTAGAAAGTGGAGAGGGAGGAGACGGTAGAGAATGATCCTGTGGGACACAATTCAGTTTTCCCGCATTCTGTTCTACTAGGAATAATTCTATAGACTTCCAACGAGAAAGATCTCAGAATTATCCTGCTATAGCTATGAGAAGACTTTCTATATATAAAAATTGCTACTAGTGGGAAAATCAATGTTATATGGATATTCATGTGAGTCATGCATTGTACATTTAGGTTCTCCTTCAAGATATATCCTTGCCTAATGCTCAGAAACAGGCTAGGCTTTCAGATGCACAAATGACTCTCCTGTGGTTGATTCCTCCTGAAGTCCAATTATAAGCTGTTGGTTACCACCAATGTTTGTGTGCTGCTCTTGCAGCCTTCAGGCTATCACGCAGTACAGACCATTGTTATGGTTCATAATTTTCATACCTGGGAAGGGCACTTGGCTTCATGTTGGGCGAAGTCTTGTGTATTTGTCGATAAGAACTGTTGGCCAATAGCAAAGCAAGATAGGTGGGACTAGGAATCAAGGAGGACTCTGTGAAGAAGAAACACAGATTTCAAGATATTAGGCCATGGTTTAGGACGCCTGTAAATTTCTCCTGTAAGAGAAATAAATCGATTATCAATTATGGGATAAATACTTTTGTCAGGGCTAGCCAGTAGGAAACATACAAGGGCAACAGCCTCATAATTAATATAGCCTCCTGTGGATTTATCTGGCCCTGATGCCGCTCTGAAACCAGGGTGGTGGGAAGGCTTCCCTTTACAGCTTTAAAAGTTTACAGATTGCCTTATGATACCAAGGAATCTGGTCACAATGGTGGAGGCTTTAAATTCTTGTGCACATCAAGACTCCTGGCTCTGAGACAGGGTTTTCCTGTATGGATCTGGAGGCTCTCGGACCAGCCTGGCCTCGACCTCACAGGGATCCTCCTGCCTCTCGCTCCCGAGTGCTGGGATTAAAGGCGTGTGCCACCACCGCCCAGATAAACCAAGCATTTGAAATGAGGAAATGTTCAAGGTCACCAAGCACTACAAGAGATTGAATTATTCTCAGAGAAACTGAGCACACACCTTTAATCCCAGCACTGAGGTGGTGGAGACAGAAGGGGTGTGGCTTGGCAGAGGGAGGTTGTCCCGCGCTACCGTCTCGCCAGCAAGAACGACGCAGAACACTCGGATCCTTCTGCAGTAAAGCTTTAATGCATCTTGAGAGATAGATGATCAGCTTCTTAGAGGGAGACCCCAAGCTAAGAAACCCAGCCCCTTATATAAGCCTAGGAGCTCCGAGTGAGATGTGTAGAGCCGGGATTGGTGGTTTGCACATCACCCCAGATGACGTCACGGGAGAGGCACAGTTTAAACGGTTAACTCCAACTGACAGCGACAGTTAACTCCAACTGACAGCGACAGTTAACTCCAACTGACAGCGACAGTTAACTCCAACTGACAGTGGATGTCAGCGCCATCTTCTAACGGCAATAGCGATAGCGAGGGCGGCTCCTCACATCTCCCCTATTCATTTATTTTTGAAGCAATAGGACACCCACAACTTTGGAGTGGAGATAGAGGTCAAATCCCCATGTGCAAATTCGGAACATGTACAAAGCTCCTCTCCAGGGTCTTATCCCCAGAGGAAGTCCTGACCAGTCCGATGTCTTTTTTCTGGGGGAAGGAGATCATGACATAGAACCTTCATGCAAGATGACTTATCTCCCAGGAGAAAGTCGTTATACCGCAGACCTCTCCTGTGCAGTGCTTAGCCTTGCAACTCCTTGGGCTGCTGAAGCCTACCCACTCTATCCCGTGCAATGAGACTAGCCTCGTGGGGTGCAAGAGCTGGGAGGCCAGCGACCTATTGCTTTAACATGGTTAACCAAATGTCAGGGGATGCTCCGTGTTCTAAGGCAGCAAGTGCTTGTGCCACCACCACTTTCTCCTTTTGTTTGGGCTCTGAGCGTACACACCATCCAAAGCATCAACACTATTCCACAGCAGAGAACTAGGCTAAATGATCCTACCCCCACCCATTCCTTAAAATAAGAAAATGCAGATGAAATCCAGGGGAGAGGTCTTCCATCAGAGAAAGATCCAGATGCGTCGAATTCACTTGCAGGATCGCCATTCTCAACTCACGGAGTGTCTGCTCAAACTCAAAAGTCCAATTCTGTAATAAATGTTGAGACAGAGCTTTTGACAGGTTAGCTGCTCTTGTAAAATTCTCATATTGTACTAAGTGACACAAAGGCCAGGCAACTTTGTTCACATCCCAATTTGGCCATCTGCCACAATATATCCAATTGTTCCTGAACCAAATTAATCTGTTGGTTTACCAACATCAGGCCTCCTTGTATCTGAGAATTGGCAGTGGCCTGTTTATCTAGGACCATGGTCACAGTGGCCTATAGTTCATTAATGGTTTGAGTTGTCTGCACAGTGGCAGAAAGTGCAAGGGCCGAGGCGGTAACCGAAGCAGTAACTGCGGCGGTGGCTATCAGGCCCACAATAATAGCAGAGATCCCAAAAATCTCGCTTTTCCCTAAACAAACTCAAATTACTTGGCGTCTCAACAGGAGCTGGAATAAATCGAGGCATGCGCATTACCAAAGCAAAAGGGTGCTTAATAGCATCCCAGCATAATGCATAAAAACAATTCTAAGCAGAACAATTTATTTCTTTCTGATTCTTACCTAAGGTATCATTACTCACAACCCAAATAAAGGGCAGCTGAATAATTAGTTCTCTTAAAAGGGTATACTTAACATTGGAGGAGGACCAATCAGATGATCCAGAGCTCTGTCCCTCACTCAGACTGTTGCCTAATGCCCCTTTCCAATCAAAAGTAATCTGTCCCTTCTCACTATCATAGGAGAAAGATCAGTACAGCTTCCATTAATTCAAAAGGATTAGCATTAGATCTTTCTGGATCCATATGAATAAAATTATCCTTTAATGAAGAAATCACAGTAAAGCACAAGCTTCCTACTAATGACAAGGTTCTCTCATCCTGAAAACTCTGTATCTGAGGATCTAAAGGCAAAAAGGCAAGCCCCAACTCTCTATTAGTTGTGAAAAATCTAGGGAACACCTGGGCATTCTGCATCACTGGCATCGGTAGGGGAAGGTAGACATGATGGCCCACCGTAACTCTCCCATCATACTAGGAACCATCATCCCGAGTAGGAGAGTCTTCATCACCCACTTGGCCTCCATCCTTCTTATTCTGGAGTTGTGAAGGAGCTCTTCGAGTGAGTCTTTCAGGGATCCACAGGGGTTTTCTTCCTCCTGTGGAAAAACACACACAGCTCCCTGGATCTTATAAGAATAGGATCCGGGCCTTTCCAGAGATCAGTCAAGACATCTTTCCATTTTACCATTTCTTTTGGCCTATCAGGCTCTAAACTGTGGCGATCAGCCGCAGTGTGGCCTTGGGCATCACAGTTCAAGAAATTAAGGGTAAAAGTGCCATGGATACAGCAACTCTTGGTACCGAGGGTAGAACATCCTCAATACTCCCCTTTTGTTTAATCAGATATGATTTGAGTGTACGATGGGCACGTTCCACAATGCCCTGTCCTTGAGGGTTATAAGGTAGGCCAGTTAGATGGGTAACATCCATTTGCCGACAAAACTGTCGGAATTTTTGAGAGGTATATGCTGGTCCATTGTCTGTTTTTAAAATTCTGGGTTTTCCCCAAGCACTCCAGGCCTCAAGGCAATGTTGAATCACATATGAGGCCTTTTCCCCTGTTAGGGGTGTGGCAAACATTACGCCAGAACAGGTGTCAACAGAAACATGAACATATTGAAGCCTTCCAAAAGAGGGAATATGAGTAACATCCATCTGCCACATCTGCAATGGTCTAATGCCACGTGGGTTTATTCCCATGTGGGGAGTAGGTAAGAATTCGCAGCAATTCTGGCATTGAGTAACAATTTCCCTAGCCTCTTTCCTGGATAGAGCAAAACGACGGCGCAAGGTCTCAGCCGTCACATGAAAGCGCTTATGGAATTCTTTTGCTGCTTGTGCATGGGTAGACAAGGCAGCGGCCACCAGCTTTGTAGCCTTGTCCGCTAAGTCATTCCCTAAGGACATGGGACCTGGGAGTCCAGAATGTGCTCGGACATGGGTAATGAAAACAGGAAATCTCCTATTTAACAAGGCAGCTTGTATCTTCTGAAAGATGTTAGCAACTCTGCTGGAGGATCTTATTATTCCAGCTATCTCAAGGAGATTAACTGCATTAACCACATAAGAGGAATCTGATACAATATTGAGGGGTCCTGGAAAAGCCTCAAGAACCTCCAGTACTATCAGACATTCTACAACTTGAGGTGAAGTTTCATTATATTGTTTAGATATAACCCTATCCTTGACCACATAAGCTCCCATACCAGTTTTTGATCCATCAGTGTACACCACAGTCCCATCTGGGAGTGGGTCTTTAGCTGTCACTTGTGGAAACACTATAGCCTGGTTTAGGGCAAACTGTAAAATTGGATGCTTTGGAAAATGATTATCAATTTGTCCTGAAAAGGAAGTAACTAAAACTGCCCAATCACTAGATGTGGCTGCCAAGGTCTGAACTTGTGCAGCAGTATAAGGCACAATCAAGGAATCAGGATCCCTGCCAAAATGTGTAACAGCTGCTTTTATTCCACGAAGCGCGAGCTGTGCAACAGCATCAGGGTACCAGTCAATAATCTTAGCAGGGGAAGCATTTGGATGAATCCAAAGTAATGGTCCATGTTGCCACAGGACTGCAGTTGGCAATTGAGCTGTCTTAAAAACACACAGATTAAAAGGTAGTGACTCCTCAATTCGTTGTAATTGTGCTTCCTGTAAGGCCTCTTCCACCATCTGTAAGGCTCGGTGGGCGGCAGGGGTAAATTTTCTGGGTGAGGAGATATGAGGCTCACCCTCCAGGAGATCGAAGAGGGGTTTTAGATCAGCAGATGGAATTTTTAAAAAGGGCCTCAACCAATTTATATCTCCCAGAAGTTTCTGAAAATCATTTAATGTTTGTAAGTGGTCTTTGCGAATTTCTATTTTCTGAGGAACTATATTTTTGGGAGTAATCTTTGAGCCCAAAAAGAGGCCTGTATCTGCAATTTGAACCTTTTCTGAGGCAATCTCTAATCCCCACTGTTTTAATTCAGCCACCAGCATGGGAAAAGCCTTTTGTAAAACATCTAACTCTTTGTGACAAATAAGAATATCGTCCATATAATGGATAACGATTAAAGATGTAAATTGCTTCCTAATTGGCTCCAAAGCCTCCTGCACATATAGCTGACATATTGTTGGGCTATTGGCCATGCCTTGCGGCAGTACCTTCCACTGAAATCTCTTGTCTGGTTCCATATGATTAAGAGAAGGGATAGTGAAGGCAAACCTTGGTCTATCCCGTGGGTAAAGTGGAATAGAGAAGAAACAATCCTTAATATCTATAATAATAAGCTTCCAATCTTGAGGAAGTGCAGAAAGCAAAGGAAGGCCTCTTTGAACAGGGCCAAAAAGATGCATCTGATTGTTAATGGCCCGCAGGTCGTGGAGTAATCTCCACTTCCCAGATTTCTTCTTAATAACAAAAATTGGTGTATTCCATGGGGAGGTAGAAGGCTCTAGATGCCCCAGCCGTTCCTGTTCTTGCACTAATCTTGTGACAGCCTCTAATTTTTCAGAGGATAGAGGCCATTGAGAGACCCATAACGGCTCCTCTGTTTTCCATGGTATGGGTCGTGAAGCCTCAACGGCCCCTAAATAAAACCCAGTCCTTTTCTACCCCGATTTCCGTGTTGTGTAATGGGTTTTATTCTGCCTTGTTCTTGCCTACCCAAGCCTCTACCATTTGTATACCCCATCTTTGCCATAATGGCTGATGCCTGGGGGAGTATTCATTAGTTAGGGTCATGCCCATGGCTTGTAACACATCTCGTCCCCATAAATTTACAGGGAGTGGCAACACATAGGGGGTAAAACATCCCTGTTTGCCTTCAGCATCCCGCCAGGTTAAGGCTGAGGCACTGATGGCAGGAGAGGACTGGTATCCAAGACCTTGTAGAGAATGAGATGAAACAACAGTGGGCCAAGACTTCGGCCACCAATGGAGTGAAATAATGCTTTTGTCTGCTCCCGAATCCATTATCCCTTCAAATTCTTTTCCATTAATTAACAATTTTATTGTAGGTCTCTCATTTAGGGGTATAGCCAGATAGGCTGAATCACTTCCAGAAGATCCCATAGCCCTTTTTTGTAAAGTGTAGGTTTCTCCATCCCCGAGGAGGGCAGCAACACCAGTTGTGCAATTCTATCTCCCTGCTTTATAGAAAATACACCCCGAGGGCTAGAACAGAGAACTTGAATCTCCTCTTTATGATATGGGTCAACAATCCCAGGATATATAATGAGTCCCTGTAAAGTTAAGGAGCCACGGCCCAGAATAAGCCCAATGGTGGCAGGGGGCAAAGGTCCAGGGAATGGACTGGGACCGGTTGAACATTCATTTGGGGCATGAGTAAGAAGTCGGAGGCGGCACGCAAGTCCATTCCGGAGGTTCCTCGGAAACCTCTACTTCCTCTTGATTGCTTTTCTGAAATTGGTTCCCATATTTCTGAGGGCCCTGGGACCATGGGCCCCGTGACCCGTTTTTGATTGGGGTACCTTGGATTCTTCAATAGGGGGCAGAAGCCTCCCTTTTACATCCCGGACTGACCTGCATTCGCTAGCCCTATGATAACCTTTACCACAACGATAGCAAAGCTTCGATTCTCTTGTTCTTTCAGGGGCTTGACAATCTTTCTTAAGGTGCCCCATTCTCCCACAATTAAAACAAGCTTTTCGATTAGATAAATCTCTATACCTGTGCGTTTGTAAAATGGCGGCAGCTAGTCCTGCATTGGTTAGGGGTCCCCCAGCTCCCTGCACACTCTGAGCCAATCTTGTAAACCTTTGCTTTTGCGAGGGCGATAGCCGCTCGACATTCCTGGGTTGCTTGTTCATAGACAAGTTGCTCAATCAGGGGCATAGCTTGTTCTGAATCACCAAAGATGCGACTGGCGGCCTCTGTCATTCTGGCCACAAAGTCTGAAAATGGCTCTTGGGGTCCTTGGACAATCTTTGTAAGGTGTCCACTGGACTCTCCCCTTTTGTGAGGGCCTTCCATGCTTTAATAGCGGCGGCCGACACCTGACCATAGACGCCCCAGATGTAGTTGGTTTGATTAAGGGCATGTTGACCCTGACCTGTCAGCATTTCAAATGTCCACTGCCTCTGATTCTCATCTTCAGCCGTGGCATTAACTCTAGCTTGTGCCTGGGCTGCATCATACCAGAGAGCCTTCCATTCCATGTATTGTCCCATGTTGGGAAGCACTGCTTTCACTGTCGTTTGCCAGTCAGTGGGAGTCATGGCAAAATTAGCAAGCCTTTCCACCTGTAATGTGGTAAAGTTAGCATTGACCCCATAATTACGAACGGATTCGGCCAATTCTTTAATTTGATTGTAATCTACGGGGTATGTACTCTTCCGCCTTCCACATTCTCGAATACTGGAAAAGCCATTTGTATTTTTCTCCGTTCCTCTAAAGGTAAAAAGGAGTCAGTACCAGTATTCAGCCGAAGCTCATATGGCGGAGGCGCTGAGAGGCGTGAGCCCGCCGGATTTATAGGCGGTGGCCTCACATTCATTTTTGTTTTCAGTGGCCGGTGTCTATCAGGGTGATATCTTTTTCCTCATACCGTGCCACCTCCTCCTCTAGACCACCTTCTTCGCTAGAATCCAGAGTGTCAGAATCAGAATTATCTAGCTCCAAGGCTTCTAGCTCTACTGCAGGGTATAGACTAGATTCTGGCTTTTTCTTTTTCTTAGATTTGTTAAGGGGTGAATGATAACTCCCTTCTTTCTCTCCCCTTTCTTAACTTCCTGGGGAGGGCCTTTTTTCTTAGACATGTCTTTTCTTTTGCGAGCTCCCATTCTCTCACTCCGTTCAGTTTCTGACATGCTATCCTGAACTTCCTCTAAGGTTCCCTGACTTTCTATTATAGCAGGGTGACAGGCCTCATCCTCCAAGCAGTTTTTAACTAGCTTCCAAATGGCTTTGGTACCTAAGCAGAGATCTCCTTCTGCATGCTTCCTGTCTAGTTCTTTACCTAGCTTGTTCCATGAGGCCACAGTGAGGGACCCGGAACAAGCATACCATGGTGCCACTCTATCTACCTCCTTCACAAAATTTTGAAGTGTTCGTGGTGCAATTTTAAGATCTCTTTGTTTTAGCACAGTCTGTAAGGCTGTAACCACTGACTGTGACGACCCCATCGCGCTGACAGCTTATCTAAAAACGCGCTCAACTCCGTTACCAGACTGACAGCACCAGACTGACAGCACCAGACTGACAGCACCAGACTGACAGCGCCAGATGGACAGCGCCAGATGGACAGCGCCAGACGGACAGCGCCAGACGGACAGCGCCAGACGGACAGCGCCAGACGGACAGCGCCGTTCTGTCAGCACCAGCCACGATGAAGGAGAAGGACAAACAGGACTAGCACCAAAGCCTCCACTGACCCGTCCCACGGTGATGACAAACTAAGGCCAAAGTCGAGAAAAGGGTTGTTCAGGATAAAGCATACCTCTCTGAACCTACGTCCCTGCAGTTCTGAATCCGCCCCGTTTTCCGAGGGGTCTCCCGCGGCGCCGGCGATGTTGAAGAGTTCCCGGGTTTCGGCACCAGATGTCCCGCGCTACCGTCTCGCCAGCAAGAACGACGCAGAACACTCGGATCCTTCTGCAGTAAAGCTTTAATGCATCTTGAGAGATAGATGATCAGCTTCTTAGAGGAGACCCCAAGCTAAGAAACCCAGCCCCTTATATAAGCCTAGGAGCTCCGAGTGAGATGTGTAGAGCCGGGATTGGTGGTTTGCACATCACCCCAGATGACATCACGGGAGAGGCACAGTTTAAACGGTTAACTCCAACTGACAGCGACAGTTAACTCCAACTGACAGCGACAGTTAACTCCAACTGACAGCGACAGTTAACTCCAACTGACAGTGGATGTCAGCGCCATCTTCTAACGGCAATAGCGATAGCGAGGCGGCTCCTCACAGGAGGTATATAATGCAGGAAGAGAGCCAGCTCACCCCATTCAGTCTGAGGATTCTAGACACGGGTTCTCCTCCTTTGTGCCTAAGGATTCACGAGAGGTAAGAAGTCACACTTGGGATTGGGTCTTTGATTCTCTGCCCTTTCAGAATTAACTCTGATTTCTGACTCTGGGTTTAGTAAGACTAATTAGTATTCTGGCTACAAAACCTGTTGTTTTAATTTGTGTTTTTGTTAAACCCCAGGAATGTAACTGTGGACATTTTACATGATGAGGGTCAATGTCTGCAGCTTACTTACAGTGCTTTGTACTCAGAAATGATGTTCTAGGATTGCAGCAGTCTAGCATCTGTGGGTGAGAACAGCTTGATTGAAATGACATCCAAAATTAGCATTTTTGAATTCCATGCGCATAGTTGTAAACACTAACATTTAACATTGAAATTTTTACCCAGCATTACTTTTTCAACTGAGAAATATGCACTGTCAAGTTAATATAGCGTTCTAAATAGGAATTTGACAGATTGGTGGAAAACAAGTTTTATCCCACCATTGGTGAGGCAAAGACAGCTGGAAGTCAGTGAGATACAGGCTATCCCTTCACTGTATTGATTTCTACTTCAGCCTGGGCTTCGTGGTGAGAATATTTCTCTGAAAAGAAAAAGAAAAACAGAAATTTGTGTTTTTGTGCCGGGTCCTTACAGTTACACTCTTGAGCCTGTTTCATGGTACCAGGCCACCGTATTTTCCCAGTTAGAAAAGGAGTTTTAAACAAGCTGGTGTCGACACAGGTCTGTAATCCAATTTTTCCGTATTGTCGTGGTATCTGATTCCAGGTTTTTAAGCACGAATTAGAATTCTGGAGAACACGAGGTCTGATTCCGTGACCACCATGGCCAACAAAATGGATATGTCTTTGGATGACATCATTAAGCTGAACCGGAGCAAGCAAGGCAGTCGCGGCAAAGGCCAGGGCTGGAGCAGTGCCGGCTGCCAGGGCCGCCACGGTGGTGCCAGGCGGGCCCCTGTGTGGGCGAATCGACGCAGCTGGTCTCTGAAGAACCGGCCTACCATGAGTGGTGGCTCTGCAGGAGGAGGCAGGAACCGGCCGGCTCCGTACAGCAGGCCTATACAACTTCCCAACAAGGGGCAGCATGACCGATTCGACAGCCGCTTCTGTGGTGGAGCCAGCTTGGAGATGGGCGGAAAGCTGTTGGTGTCAAACCTTGACTGCGGGGTGTCAGACGCGGATATTCTGGAACTCTTCTCAGTGTTTGGAACACTGAAGACAGCAGCTGTGCACTACGATCGCTCCGGACGAAGTTTAGGGACAGCCCAAGTGCACTTTCGACAGAAGGCAGATGCTCTGAAGGCTATGAAACAGTACAATGGTGTCCCTTTAGATGGCCGCCCCATGAACATTCAGCTTGTGACATCACAGACTGACTCACAAAGAAAACCCGCACAGAGAATGATCAGAGGTTCCATGAGTAGAAACCATGGCTCATGGTGTTTTGGTGGCGGTCTCATCCGGAGAGGGACCCGTGGAGGCAGCCCTGGAAGAGGTAGAGGAGGTTCGAGCAGGAACTCCAAGGAGCCTCTTTCTGCCGAGCAGTTGGATGCACAGCTGGATGAGGACAATGCACAGATGGACACCAGTTAAACAGCCGGGCAAATCCGCAGAAGTGACAGGACCCAGAAGCTTCGTCCGTAATCCCTCGAGGGAGGGTTGGCAACTGGACTGTGCACACAATGGGGGATTTCTTTTTCGTTTGTCTCTCTCTCTCTCTCTCTCTCTCTCTCTCTCTCTCTCTCTCTCTCTCTCTCTCTCTTTCCCTGTTTTAAAATGGGATCTAAAAACTCATGTAAAGGCTTTCTTCCCCTCTTTTTTTAATTCTGAAACCGACCTGTTTTGTACCGAGTCACTTTGGCGATCAGTTTTACTGGTGACTGTTGTGGAGAAGGTGGCATGTTCACCTTTGCCATAATAAACTAGAATTGTGTGTAGGAAAGAAAATAAAAAGAGAATTCTGGCTTCAAAACCTATTGTGTTTTTGTTTGTTGTGAGCTGACACCTAGTGGTGAGACTCTGTAATTCCCACAAGAGGAGGGTCAATGGCTGCAGCCTGCTCAGGGGGGGATTTTTACAGAGAATGGATGTGGCCGAGTTGTAGCAGTCTGCTTTGTGTGGGTGAGAAGTGTTTCCTTGCTGCCTCCCTTGCTCCTCCTGAGGGTTTCTTGGGAAATTACTTGTTAAGTGTATTTCTTTCAGGCAGATTTTCATTAAATTTGGTCTACAACAAATTAAGTAATTCATTTTATGTGCTTTTGTGATCCCAAACATTCAGTTCCATTTCTGCTCCTGAGGTTTGACTGGAAAGTGATTGGAAGTGGCATTCAAGTTACACTCACTGAAGAGCTGGTTTCTAGTGATTTTCCATGCTATGCCTGTTTATGTCAAATGGGGAATCACTTGTAGAGTCCTATAACTTTAACTACTCGTGTAGACTTCTGTGTTAACAATCCAGGCACTTTCCTTGTGAATGATCTCTTTCTCATGTTGGGAGCAATCAATCCCCCAGTTCTGCGCACCTGCGGAGACAGACAAAAAGTCCTAGAAAGTGGAGAGGGAGGAGACGGTAGAGAATGATCCTGTGGGACACAATTCAGTTTTCCCGCATTCTGTTCTACTAGGAATAATTCTATAGACTTCCAACGAGAAAGATCTCAGAATTATCCTGCTATAGCTATGAGAAGACTTTCTATATATAAAAATTGCTACTAGTGGGAAAATCAATCTTATATGGATATTCATGTGAGTCATGCATTGTACATTTAGGTTCTCCTTCAAGATATATCCTTGCCTAATGCTCAGAAACAGGCTAGGCTTTCAGATGCAGAAATGACTTTCCTGTGGTTGATTCCTCCTGAAGTCCAATTAAAAGCTGTTGGTTACCACCAATGTCTGTGTGCTGTGCTTGCAGCCTTCAGGCTATCACGCAGTGCAGACCATTGTTATGGTTCATAATTTTCATACCTGGGAAGGTCACTTGGCTTCATGTTGGGCGAAGTCTTGTGTATTTGTCGATAAGAACTGTTGGCCAATAGCAAAGCAAGATAGGTGGGACTAGGAATCAAGGAGGACTCTGTGAAGGAGAAACACAGATTTCAAGATATTAGGCCATGGTTTAGGACGCCCGTAAAGTTCTCCTGTAAGAGAAATAATTCGATTATCAATTATGGGATAAATACTTTTGTCAGGGCTAGCCAGTAGGAAACATACAAGGGCAACAGCCTCATAATTAATATAGCCTCCTGTGGATTTATTTGGCCCTGATGCCGCTCTGAAACCAGGCTGGCTGGAAGGCTTCCCTTTACAGCTTTAGAAGTTTACAGATTGCCTTATGATACCAAGGAAGCTGGTCACAATCGTGGAGGCTTTAAATTCTTGTGCACATCAAGACTCCTGGCTCTGAGACAGGGTTTTCCTGTATGGATTTGGAGGCTCTCGGACCAGCCTGGCCTCGACCTCACAGAGATCCTCCTGCCTCTCGCTCCCGAGTGCTGGGATTAAAGGCGTGTGCCACCACCGCCTAGATAAACCAAGCATTTGAAATGAGGAAATGTTCAAGGTCACCAAGCACTACAAGAGATTGAATTATTCTCAGAGAAACTGAGCACACACCTTTAATCCCAGCACTGAGGAGGTGGAGACAGAAGGGGTGTGGCTTGGCAGAGGGAGGTATATAATGCAGGAAGAGAGCCAGCTCACCCCATTCAGTCTGAGGATTCTAGACACCGGTTCTCCTCCTTTGTGCCTAAGGATTCACGAGAGGTAAGAAGTCACACTTGGGATTGGGTCTTTGATTCTCTGCCCTTTCAGAATTAACTCTGATTTCTGACTCTGGGTTTACTAAGACTAATTAGTATTCTGGCTACAAAACCTGTTGTTTTAATTTGTGTTTTTGCTAAACCCCAGGAATGTAACTGTGGACATTTTACATGATGAGGGTCAATGTCTGCAGCTTACTTACAGTGCTTTGTACTCAGAAATGACGTTCTAGGATTGCAGCAGTCTAGCATCTGTGGGTGAGAACAGCTTGTTTGAAATCACATCCAAAATTAGCATTTTGGAGTTCCATGCGCATAGTTGTAAACACTAACATTTAACATTGAAATTTTTACCCAGCATTAGTTTTTCAACTGAGAAATATGCACTGTCAAGTTAATATAGCGTTCTAAATAGGAATTTGACAGATTGGTGGAAAACAAGTTTTATCCCACCATTGGTGAGGCAAAGACAGCTGGAAGTCAGTGAGATACAGGCTATCCCTTCACTGTATTGATTTCTACTTCAGCCTGGGCTTCATGGTGAGAATATTTCTCTGAAAAGAAAAAGAAAAACAGAAATTTGTGTTTTTGTGCCGGGTCCTTACAGTTACACTCTTGAGCCTGTTTCATGGTACCAGGCCACCGTATTTTCCCAGTTAGAAAAGGAGTTTTAAACAAGCTGGTGTCGACACAGGTCTGTAATCCAATTTTTCCGTATTGTCGTGGTATCTGATTCAAGGTTTTTAAGCACTATTTAGAATTCTGGAGAACACGAGGTCTGATTCCGAGACCACCATGGCCAACAAAATGGATATGTCTTTGGATGACATCATTAAGCTGAACCGGAGCAAGCAAGGCAGTCGCGGCAAAGGCCAGGGCTGGAGCAGTGCCGGCTGCCAGGGCCGCCACGGTGGTGCCAGGCGGGCCCCTGTGTGGGCGAATCGACGCAGCTGGTCTCTGAAGAACCGGCCTACCATGAGTGGTGGCTCTGCAGGAGGAGGCAGGAACCGGCCGGCTCCGTACAGCAGGCCTATACAACTTCCCAACAAGGGGCAGCATGACCGATTCGACAGCCGCTTCTGTGGTGGAGCCAGCTTGGAGATGGGCGGAAAGCTGTTGGTGTCAAACCTTGACTGCGGGGTGTCAGACGCGGATATTCTGGAACTCTTCTCAGTGTTTGGAACACTGAAGACAGCAGCTGTGCACTACGATCGCTCCGGACGAAGTTTAGGGACAGCCCAAGTGCACTTTCGACAGAAGGCAGATGCTCTGAAGGCTATGAAACAGTACAATGGTGTCCCTTTAGATGGCCGCCCCATGAACATTCAGCTTGTGACATCACAGACTGACTCACAAAGAAAACCCGCACAGAGAATGATCAGAGGTTCCATGAGTAGAAACCATGGCTCATGGTGTTTTGGTGGCGGTCTCATCCGGAGAGGGACCCGTGGAGGCAGCCCTGGAAGAGGTAGAGGAGGTTCGAGCAGGAACTCCAAGGAGCCTCTTTCTGCCGAGCAGTTGGATGCACAGCTGGATGAGTACAATGCACAGATGGACACCAGTTAAACAGCCGGGCAAATCCACAGAAGTGACAGGACCCAGAAGCTTCGTCCGTAATCCCTCGAGGGAGGGTTGGCAACTGGACTGTGCACACAATGGGGGATTTCTTTTTCTATCTCTCTCTCTCTCTCTCTCTCTCTCTCTCTCTCTCTCTCTCTCTCTCTCTCTCTCTTTTCCCTGTTTTAAAATGGGATCTAAAAACTCATGTAAAGGCTTTCTTCCCCTCTTTTTTTAATTCTGAAACCGACCTGTTTTGTACCGAGTCACTTTGGCGATCAGTTTTACTGGTGACTGTTGTGGAGAAGGTGGCATGTTCACCTTTGCCATAATAAACTAGAATTGTGTGTAGGAAAGAAAATAAAAAGAGAATTCTGGCTTCAAAACCTATTGTGTTTTTGTTTGTTGTGAGCTGACACCTAGTGGTGAGACTGTGTAATTCCCACAAGAGGAGGGTCAATGGCTGCAGCCTGCTCAGGGGGATTTTTACAGAGAATGGATGTGGCCGAGTTGCAGCAGTCTGCTTTGTGTGGGTGAGAAGTGTTTCCTTGCTGCCTCCCTTGCTCCTCCTGAGGGTTTCTTGGGAAATTACTTGTTAAGTGTATTTCTTTCAGGCAGATTTTCATTAAATTTGGTCTACAACAAATTAAGTAATTCATTTTATGTGCTTTTGTGATCCCAAACATTCAGTTCCATTTCTGCTCCTGAGGTTTGACTGGGAAGTGATTGGAAGTGGCATTCAAGTTACACTCACTGAAGAGCTGGTTTCTAGTGATTTTCCATGCTATGCCTGTTTATGTCAAATGGGGAATCACTTGTAGAGTCCTATAACTTTAACTACTCGTGTAGACTTCTGTGTTAACAATCCAGGCACTTTCCTTGTGAATGATCTCTTTCTCATGTTGGGGGCAATCAATCCCCCAGTTCTGCGCACCTGCGGAGACAGACAAAAAGTCCTAGAAAGTGGAGAGGGAGGAGACGGTAGAGAATGATCCTGTGGGACACAATTCAGTTTTCCCGCATTCTGTTCTACTAGGAATAATTCTATAGACTTCCAACGAGAAAGATCTCAGAATTATCCTGCTATAGCTATGAGAAGACTTTCTATATATAAAAATTGCTACTAGTGGGAAAATCAATCTTATATGGATATTCATGTGAGTCATGCATTGTACATTTAGGTTCTCCTTCAAGATATATCCTTGCCTAATGCTCAGAAACAGGCTAGGCTTTCAGATGCAGAAATGACTTTCCTGTGGTTGATTCCTCCTGAAGTCCAATTATAAGCTGTTGGTTACCACCAATGTCTGTGTGCTGCTCTTGCAGCCTTCAGGCTATCACGCAGTGCATACCATTGTTATGGTTCATAATTTTCATACCTGGGAAGGGCACTTGGCTTTATGTTGGGCGAAGTCTTGTGTATTTGTCGATAAGAACTGTTGGCCAATAGCAAAGCAAGATAGGTGGGACTAGGAATCAAGGAGGACTCTGTGAAGGAGAAACACAGATTTCAAGATATTAGGCCATGGTTTAGGACGCCCGTAAAGTTCTCCTGTAAGAGAAATAATTCGATTATCAATTATGGGATAAATACTTTTGTCAGGGCTAGCCAGTAGGAAACATACAAGGGCAACAGCCTCATAATTAATGTAGCCTCCTGTGTATTTATTTGGCCCTGATGCCGCTCTGAAACCAGGCTGGCGGGAAGGCTTCCCTTTACAGCTTTAGAAGTTTACAGATTGCCTTATGATACCAAGGAAGCTGGTCACAATCGTGGAGGCTTTAAATTCTTGTGCACATCAAGACTCCTGGCTCTGAGACAGGGTTTTCCTGTATGGATTTGGAGGCTCTCGGACCAGCCTGGCCTCGACCTCACAGAGATCCTCCTGCCTCTCGCTCCCGAGTGCTGGCATTAAAGGCGTGTGCCACCACCGCCCAGATAAACCAAGCATTTGAAATGAGGAAATGTTCAAGGTCACCAAGCACTACAAGAGATTGAATTATTCTCAGAGAAACTGAGCACACACCTTTAATCCCAGCACTGAGGAGGTGGAGACAGAAGGGGTGTGGCTTGGCAGAGGGAGGTATATAATGCAGGAAGAGAGCCAGCTCACCCCATTCAGTCTGAGGATTCTAGACACCGGTTCTCCTCCTTTGTGCCTAAGGATTCACGAGAGGTAAGAAGTCACACTTGGGATTGGGTCTTTGATTCTCTGCCCTTTCAGAATTAACTCTGATTTCTGACTCTGGGTTTACTAAGACTAATTAGTATTCTGGCTACAAAACCTGTTGTTTTAATTTGTGTTTTTGCTAAACCCCAGGAATGTAACTGTGGACATTTTACATGATGAGGGTCAATGTCTGCAGCTTACTTACAGTGCTTTGTACTCAGAAATGATGTTCTAGGATTGCAGCAGTCTAGCATCTGTGGGTGAGAACAGCTTGTTTGAAATCACATCCAAAATTAGCATTTTTGAGTTCCATGCGCATAGTTGTAAACACTAACATTTAACATTGAAATTTTTACCCAGCATTACTTTTTCAACTGAGAAATATGCACTGTCAAGTTAATATAGCGTTCTAAATAGGAATTTGACAGATTGGTGGAAAACAAGTTTTATCCCACTGTGAGGAGCCGCCCTCGCTATCGCTATTGCCGTTAGAAGATGGCGCTGACATCTGCTGTCAGTTGGAGTTAACCGTTAGAAGATGGCGCTGACATCTGCTGTCAGTTGGAGTTAACCGTTTAAGCTGTGCCTCTCCCGTGGCGTCATCTGGGGTGATGTGCAAACCACCAATCCCGGCTCTACACGTCTCACTCGGAGCTCCTAGGCTTATATAAGGGCCTGGGTTTCTTAGCTTGTGGTCTCCCTCTGAGAAGCTGATCATCTATCTCTCAAGATGCACTAAAGCTTTACTGCAGAAGGATCCGAGTGTTCTGCGTCGTTCTTGCTGGCGAGACGGTAGCGCGGGACATCTGGTGCCGAAACCCGGGAACTCTTCAACATCGCCGGCGCCGCGGGAGACCCCTCGGAAGACGGGGCGGATTCAGAACTGCAGGGACGTAAGTTCAGAGAGGTATGCTTTATCCTGAATACCCCCTTTCTCGACTTTGGCCTTAGTTTGTCATCACCGTGGGACGGGTCAGTGGAGGCTTTGGTGCTAGTCCTGTTTGTCCTTCTCCTTCATCGTGGCTGGTGCTGACAGAACGGTGCTGTCAGTCTGGTGCTGTCAGTCTGGTGCTGTCAGTCTGGTGCTGTCAGTCTGGTGCTGTCAGTCTGGTAACGGAGTTGAGCGCCGTTTTTAGATAAGCCGCCAGCGCGATGGGGTTGTCACAGTCAGTGGTTACTGCCCTACAGACTGTGCTAAAACAAAGAGATCTTAAAATTGCACCACGAACACTTCAAAATTTTGTGAAGGAGGTAGATAGAGTGGCACCATGGTATGCTTGTTCCGGGTCCCTCACTGTGGCCTCATGGAACAAGCTAGGTAAAGAACTAGACAGGAAGCATGCAGAAGGAGATCTCCAGCTTAGGTACCAAAGCCATTTGGAAGCTAGTTAAAAACTGCTTGGAGGATGAGGCCTGTCACCCTGCTATAATAGAAAGTCAGGGAACCTTAGAGGAAGTTCAGGATAGCATGTCAGAAACTGAACGGAGTGAGAGAATGGGAGCTCGCAAAAGGAAAGACATGTCTAAGAAAAAAGGCCCTCCCCAAGAAGTTAAGAAAGGGGGAGAGAAAGAAGGGAGTGATCATTCACCCCCTAACAAATCTAAGAAAAAGAAAAAGCCAGAATCTAGTCTATACCCTACAGTAGAGCTAGAAGCCTTGGAGCTAGATAATTCTGATTCTGACACTCTGTATTCTAGCGAAGAAGGTGGTCTAGAGGAGGAGGTGGCACGGTATGAGGAAGAAAGATATCACCCTGATAGACACCGGCCACTGAAAACAAAAATGAATGTGAGGCCACCGCCTATAAATCCGGCGGGCTCACGCCCCTCAGCGCCTCCGCAGTATGAGCTTCGGCTGAATACTGGTACTGACTCCTTTTTACCTTTAGAGGAACGGAGAAAAATACAAATGGCTTTTCCAGTATTCGAGAATGCGGAAGGCGGAAGAGTACATACCCCTGTAGATTACAATCAAATCAAAGAATTGGCCGAATCCGTTCGTAATTATGGGGTCAATGCTAACTTTACCACATTACAGGTGGAAAGGCTTGCTAATTTTGCCATGACTCCCACTGACTGGCAGACGACAGTGAAAGCAGTGCTTCCCAACATGGGACAATACATGGAATGGAAGGCTCTCTGGTATGATGCAGCCCAGGCACAAGCTAGAGTTAATGCCACGGCTGAAGATGAGAATCAGAGGCAGTGGACATTTGAAATGCTGACAGGTCAGGGTCAACATGCCCTTAATCAAACCAACTACATCTGGGGTGTCTATGGTCAGGTGTCGGCCGCCGCTATTAAAGCATGGAAGGCCCTCACAAAAAGGGAGAGTCCAGTGGACACCTTACAAAGATTGTCCAAGGACCCCAAGAGCCATTTTCAGACTTTGTGGCCAGAATGACAGAGGCCGCCAGTCGCATCTTTGGTGATTCAGAACAAGCTATGCCCCTGATTGAGCAACTTGTCTATGAACAAGCAACCCAGGAATGTCGGCGGCTATCGCCCCTCGCAAAAGCAAAGGTTTACAAGATTGGCTCAGAGTGTGCAGGGAGCTGGGGGGACCCTAACCAATGCAGGACTAGCTGCCGCCATTTTACAAACGCACAGGCGTAGAGATTTATCTAGTCGAAAAGCTTGTTTTAATTGTGGGAGAATGGGGCACCTTAAGAAAGATTGTCAAGCCCCTGAAAGAACAAGAGAATCTGAAGCTTTGCCATCGTTGTGGTAAAGGTTATCATAGGGCTAGCGAATGCAGGTCAGTCCGGGATGTAAAAGGGAGGCTTCTGCCCCCTATTGAAGAACCCAAGGTACCCCAATCAAAAAACGGGTCACGGGGCCCATGGTCCCAGGGCCCTCAGAAATATGGGAACCAATTTCAGAAAAGCAATCAAGAGGAAGTAGAGGCTTCCGAGGAACCCCCGGAATGGACTTGCGTGCCGCCTCCGACTTCTTACTCATGCCCCAAATGAATGTTCAACCGGTCCCAGTCCATTCCCCTGGACCTTTGCCCCCTGCCACCATTGGGCTTATTCTGGGCCGTGGCTCCTTAACTTTACAGGGACTCATTATATATCCTGGAATTGTTGACCCGTATCATAAAGAGGAGATTCAAGTTCTCTGTTCTAGCCCTCGGGGTGTATTTTCTATAAAGCAGGGAGATAGAATTGCACAACTGGTGTTGCTGCCCTCCCTCGGGGATGGAGAAACCTACACTTTACAAAAAAGGGCTATGGGATCTTCTGGAAGTGATTCAGCCTATCTGGCTATACCCCTAAATGAGAGACCTACAATAAAATTGTTAATTAATGGAAAAGAATTTGAAGGGATAATGGATACGGGAGCAGACAAAAGCATTATTTCACTCCATTGGTGGCCGAAGTCTTGGCCCACTGTTGTTTCATCTCATTCTCTACAAGGTCTTGGATACCAGTCCTCTCCTGCCATCAGTGCCTCAGCCTTAACCTGGCGGAATGCTGAGGGCAAACAGGGATGTTTTACCCCCTATGTGTTGCCACTCCCTGTAAATTTATGGGGACGGGATGTGTTACAAGCCATGGGCATGACCCTAACTAATGAATACTCCCCCCAGGCATCAGCCATTATGGCAAAGATGGGGTATACAAACGGTAGAGGCTTGGGTAGGCAAGAACAAGGCAGAATAAAACCCATTACGCAACACGGAAATCGGGGTAGAAAAGGACTGGGTTTTATTTAGGGGCCGTTGAGGCTTCACGACCCATACCATGGAAAACAGAGGAGCCGTTATGGGTCTCTCAATGGCCTCTATCCTCTGAAAAATTAGAGGCTGTCACAAGATTAGTGCAAGAACAGGAACGGCTGGGGCATCTAGAGCCTTCTACCTCCCCATGGAATACACCAATTTTTGTTATTAAGAAGAAATCTGGGAAGTGGAGATTACTCCATGACCTGCGGGCCATTAACAATCAGATGCATCTTTTTGGCCCTGTTCAAAGAGGCCTTCCTTTGCTTTCTGCACTTCCTCAAGATTGGAAGCTTATTATTATAGATATTAAGGATTGTTTCTTCTCTATTCCACTTTACCCACGGGATAGACCAAGGTTTGCCTTCACTATCCCTTCTCTTAATCATATGGAACCAGACAAGAGATTTCAGTGGAAGGTACTGCCGCAAGGCATGGCCAATAGCCCAACAATATGTCAGCTGTATGTGCAGGAGGCTTTGGAGCCAATTAGGAAGCAATTTACATCTTTAATCGTTATCCATTATATGGACGATATTCTTATTTGTCACAAAGAGTTAGATGTTTTACAAAAGGCTTTCCCCATGCTGGTGGCTGAATTAAAACAGTGGGGATTAGAGATTGCCTCAGAAAAGGTTCAAATTGCAGATACAGGGCTCTTTTTGGGCTCAATGATTACTCCCAAAAATATAGTTCCTCAGAAAATAGAAATTCGCAAAGACCACTTACAAACATTAAATGATTTTCAGAAACTTCTGGGAGATATAAATTGGTTGAGGCCCTTTTTAAAAATTCCATCTGCTGATCTAAAACCCCTCTTCGATCTCCTGGAGGGTGAGCCTCATATCTCCTCACCCAGAAAATTTACCCCTGCCGCCCACCGAGCCTTACAGATGGTGGAAGAGGCCTTACAGGAAGCACAATTACAACGTATTGAGGAGTCACTACCTTTTAATCTGTGTGTTTTTAAGACAGCTCAATTGCCAACTGCAGTCCTGTGGCAACATGGACCATTACTTTGGATTCATCCAAATGCTTCCCCTGCTAAGATTATTGACTGGTACCCTGATGCTGTTGCACAGCTCGCGCTTCGCGGAATAAAAGCAGCTGTTACACATTTTGGCAGGGATCCTGATTCCTTGATTGTGCCTTATACTGCTGCACAAGTTCAGACCTTGGCAGCCACATCTAGTGATTGGGCAGTTTTAGTTACTTCCTTTTCAGGACAAATTGATAATCATTTTCCAAAGCATCCAATTTTACAGTTTGCCCTAAACCAGGCTATAGTGTTTCCACAAGTGACAGCTAAAGACCCACTCCCAGATGGGACTGTGGTGTACACTGATGGATCAAAAACTGGTATGGGAGCTTATGTGGTCAAGGATAGGGTTATATCTAAACAATATAATGAAACTTCACCTCAAGTTGTAGAATGTCTGATAGTACTGGAGGTTCTTGAGGCTTTTCCAGGACCCCTCAATATTGTATCAGATTCCTCTTATGTGGTTAATGCAGTTAATCTCCTTGAGATAGCTGGAATAATAAGATCCTCCAGCAGAGTTGCTAACATCTTTCAAAAGATACAAGCTGCCTTGTTAAATAGGAGATTTCCTGTTTTCATTACCCATGTCCGAGCACATTCTGGACTCCCAGGTCCCATGTCCTTAGGGAATGACTTAGCGGACAAGGCTACAAAGCTGGTGGCCGCTGCCTTGTCTACCCATG